TTCCCTTGGCCTCCGGCCGAGAGAGAGGGAAGAAAAACAAATTAAGGTCTTTGAAAAAGTATCAAAATATTTGCCAGTGAAGACCAAAACACCAATTTTCACATGCTCCTTTCCCTGACAACGCTGGGACAGAGCTCTGTGTGCTCTGAAGGGAGTGACTATTTGCTTTGAACTATCCCGACTAGGAAATACCTGATCTAATCTCCTCCATCTGGGTGACAGGGCAGGAAAGACCTCTCTGAGGCTGGTTCTGAAGCTCTCTGATCCAGCCTTCCTCACCGAATCCACTTCCAGTCAGCCAGACCATAAACAGCTCGTTGGGTCCAGGCATTCCAGGGCTGTGGCCAGGACCCAAGATGCGGACTCCTGAGCAGTTTGCCCTGCTGCAAGCCTGGGCTGCCCCAAAAAAGAATGGTTTTTGTTTCCCCCAGCCTGTCTCCAGCCCTTCCTTGCCCTGGGGCCTGGGCTGAAGGCTGAGATATTTGGTTTTTCAGGCTGGTTTGCCTGGAGGCTCAGCAGGTGACCCAGCGGAGCTAAACAGTCCTATTGCCAGCCTTTGGGAGCCAAACAGTCCCATTCCCAGCTTTTGGGGATTGGGAACGTGGCTTGGGCTACACTGAGCCCTTGAGAACAATCTCTGAAATCAGTGAGCCCCACAGTGCAGCTGCCAAGCAGCAGCACCCTGCTCTCAGCCACCCACTAACCTGTGTGCCAGCAGTTACCACTGAATTGCTGCAACTCTGTCTTTAGCTCCTTTCTCCATTCCATCTGGCGTCAGATAGCTCAGATTAAAGGTCCATCTGATTGGGAATCACACCTGGGCTGCAAACAGCCATGTTTTCCAGGCTACAGCATTCCTAGAGGGGAGCAGAGCTCCAGCTGCTGGAGATGCTCTGCTGGAAAAGCCATGGCTGAGGAGGGCTGGAAGAGCAGGCTGGAAGGCCACAAGTGCTCTGCAGAGAGTGAACAGGATGCAGAGGAAGCCAGAAGCAGAAAATTATTTCAGAGAAGATAATCCATGGGGGACAGGTCAGCCCGAGAGCCTTGGATGCATTCCTTGCACAGGAAGGCTCCAATCTCTAACCTGCTGGATTTGGGGAAAATGCCCTGAGGGAAAATTCATCCCATACTCCATCTCTTCCTTTCCCTGAGCAGTTTTGGGGAACAAGGTACTGGGCTGGATGGTGCTTCCTGAGTAGCCCTTTTCCATTTTGGGGTTATATCCCCAAAGCCACAAAATGATTTTGTGAAAAAGTTTTTTTACACAACTTAAAAGCAAGTGTCAGCTCTCTGGAGTTTAGCCATCCTACAAAACATAATGGAACACTGTAACCAGTTACGAAATTCCCTGATACAGTAAAAAAATAATATCAGCTGGAAAGATTGACTCATTTTAGACTGGTTTCCCTGTACATCCTGATCTAATTCCCACAAGCCCCCTTGGTTTCATCTTCTGCATATTCTGCAAAAATTTTAATGTAGGACTTCTTTTTTTAAAGGTTTGAGATCCCAAATTCCTGCAGGCTACCTAGAGAGGCCTAAAAATAGTAATAAATGTGAAAATTGGACAAAAGGGGATTTACCACGCCAAGGACACGGCCTGGGGCTGAAGCTTCCACGTGAGTCAGGCAGGAAGTTTGCTCCTTCCCCCCACTCAGCTTCACAAGGAATATGGAATAAGGAGGTGGCAAGACAGGCTTGGAAGGGGCACAGAACCACACCTGTGAATGAAGGTTTTCATCCCTTAATTCACAGAATCACAGAAGGGCTGGGTTGGAAGGACCTTAAATCCCATCTCATTCCACCCCTTGCCATGGCAGGGACACCTTCCACTGTCCCAGGTTGGTCCAAACTGGCCTTGGACGCTTCCAAAGATCCAGGGGCAGCCACAGCTGCTCTGGGAAATTTCCTCCTTTAAAAGTCAATCAGGGCTCATAACAGCAGGCGAGCGTGGGGTACATTTGTCCCTGAACGTCTACCAGGAGGAGGAGGATGAGGAGGAGGGAGTCTCCTGCAGGCAGATGTTTAGCTGCCCCAGGACACAACAGGGCTGCTAAATAAAACCTGGATCCCACAAAACAGGCTGCGGGATCCTGGGGATCTCACAACCCACAGTCAGAACAAGCTGTATCCAAGCTCATATTCCCGGAGAAAAGGGTGCAAATGGCAGCCAATTAAGGCCTTTCCACCTACACCAGCCCGGCTCCAAAAGCCAAAGCGATCCCAGCAGGGCTCCCCGGGAAGCCTGGCTCGGCAGAGCTGAGCCCTCAATGGCACAGTGCTGGGAAACGCAGAACTGCTGCGTGGGAGCCCCTGAGCCACCCTGGGAGCACTCATCACTTGTGCACGTTGAATAGAACTGGCTCTCCATGGGGAAAAGCTCCCTCCCATTGCTGGAGAGGGACTCCCACCGTTCAATTGAAGGTTTAAATTTGGATGAGGAGAGATTTTCCTCCCCGGTTTTGGTGTGTTGTGTTTTTCCCTTTAATGTAAACCACGTACTTGCAAAGAACCCATGGATAAGGCATTGGAACAAAATATGTGCAGCCATGATTCTGGCATGCACTTTTCCTTCTGGGATGCACTTTTCCAGGACAGCTAGTAAGAACTTGCAGCAAATTTAACTTACAGAAACCATGATGGTGGTCATGAGCATGCAATGGAATGATGGCTGGACCTGGGAACCAAACACCAGAGCACAAGGCCATGGCTGTGCTCTCAGACCCTTCTTCAGGAACTAAACCACTCAAAAGTCACCCACTGGTGACCATCAGGCCCTTCCAGCACTTCTAGCACCTGGGCAGCTGAGACTAAAGAAACAGGCAGATATCCCAGCTACAGCTTTCCAAAAAGTGGGGAAAAAAAAAAACCCAAAACCACTGGAACACACAGCCCCAAAGTCTTGTGAGGACTGACAGCAGGGATCTGAGCAGAAAGTTCACCCCTGGCTAGGAGAACCCATTAGGTGACTCCATGGAGCAGTGACACCTCACTGGCCCTGAGGCCAGGAGGGAAGCTGTGTCCAACACCCCATTGCACTTGGCCCTGGGGCACCTTTGTGTGGTGGCTTCATGGCCCTAAGATGCAACAATGCTTTTGTGGGATTGGGATGGGGGAAGCAGTTTAGAAGGCTGGCCAAAACACACATTTACAGCAGGAAGTGTTTTCCAGCATGAGGACACGCATGGCAGGCACCATGACAATGGGGTCATCAGGTGTGTAAAGATAAAAGAGCTGAAAGACTGGGAGGGCAGAGGGAAACAAACCTGCCCCAAAGGTGCCCAGGGCCAGCTGGCAAAGGCAGCACAGTGCCAAGGAGCACAGTAAGGGCAGGGCAGTGACACAGCCTCACTCACACCAGCAGTGCCAAGGAAAGAGGAGCACAGGGTGACACACTGCTGCCTGGGGACCTGCTGCAGACACAGACTGGTCACTTCCCTCCCCTCACCCCATCCAAAGCCACCTCACCAGGCTCACCAAGGACTCCTTTCACTTTGTGTGCAAATCTGGACTTCATTCCTGCCTTTTCAAACACATAATGGCAGTCATTTCCCTAAGCTTGCTCAGGCTAGGCTGGGGCTGCCATGACTTCATTTCTGACAACTATCTTATACTTACAGGATGCTGCTGGGATTAAAGACTTGGGAGGAGGAATTCTGACCTTTGCAAAGCTTTAATTTTGTTGAATTTATCCGTGGTAATAATCACTGCTAAGACTCCTTACAGCCATCATCTCCTGTCTCGGGAGATCCATCCAGTGAAACCAGCCCCACGAAATAATTTCCCTGGGTATGGCTGAGGCCTCACAAAATACTACTTAAATTCCAGACTTTCACTGCATGCCTCAGAGGAATCTTCTGAATGCCAGCATAGGCACCAAGAAGAGAAACAAACGCTTGGCTGTTCATCACTGACTCTATTCTCTTTTTCCTTAAATACCCTCGAAAGCAGGCTGCACCCAACAATCTTCAGGAAAGCTGTTAGCTCCAAGGCTGCCAAAACCCTTTTTTTTTCCCTTCTTGTTCTCTAGGTTTTTATCCTGCCCTGGCACACCAAAAGCTTTTCACCTCCAAGAGCAAAGAGCTGATTTTGAAGAACAAAGCTGCTGTTGTGGGCTGCTGCAGCATCTGTTTCAGCATGCCAGTTTTATATTTAGCAGCAGCCCGTGTCCCCAGATCACGCATGGCCAGGCAGTCCCTGAGCAGCCCCATCCCAGCACGAGTCTGGGCAGGGTTTGGAACTCCTTCCTGCCCCTCTTTACATCTAACCTGCCAGCAGAACTACTGCTTGCAGCCTGGGGCAGGAACTCCATCAAGCAGGACAGGGAAAAGCATGGAAAAACGTAAGAAAGCCCCAAAATCATAGGCCTGGTGTCTGGAGTGCAGGAGGGGCACCTGACAGCCAAGCTTCTCTTCAGTGTCTGCTGTCCCTGGCTCAGAGAAGCAGCATCTTCTCCACACATCTCCATGCCCCATCATTTCTCAGCTTACAGCAGGCCTGGCAGTGCCAGTGCTGTTTCAGTAAGAGGTTTTGCACAGACACTAACATCAGCTAATTAGAAGAGTGAAATTTCAGCCCAGGGAGGGTCTAGCACGGAGGGGAAACACTGACAGGTTTTTTCTTTGCCTCCAGCCACGAGTGCAGGCAGGGCAGGGTGACAAGGCAGGGAGGACAGAAGGGGGGACACAGCTCTGCAGAGGAGTGATCAGTTTTGGCAGCTACCCTGGAAAAAAAGGAACTGTCAGCACTGCAAAACACGCAGGGAAATCTTCTGCTGGCAAATGCACATTTCCCCTTCTCAGAGGCAGTGAAGAGTGCAAAAGGTCCAAGGAGAGTTGCAGATCAAGGAGGGACAGTGATGGAATTGAGCCAGCTCTGGAGACTGGCTAGTTCTGGAAGCATCTCTCTGCTCAGAAAGGGAGTGTTGAAGGAAACCCAGAAAACCTTCCTCTACAGGCCCAGCCCAGCAAATGCCAAAGCACAGCAGAAAACGGCCTTACCTGGGTGGTTTTCGCCCTTCTGCCTTGCATGCTGCTGCTATGGCTCATCTGAGGGTTGGAGGCCCCTTCGGAGAGGCAGTGGGACTTCCTGCAGGGCAGCGTGTTGTAGTTGCTGTAGGAGGAGGGCGCGTCCTCGGCGCCCACCGAGGCCATCTTATGGCCGCCCAGCTCGGGGATGTCGGACACCAGGCTCCGGCAGTAACCTCCGAAGGCGTTTCGGGGCCCCCCATTGATGGTGGCCCCGGGCGTTTTGGGGGAGTACAGGTCACTCATGGAGTTGGCCCGCTGGCAGGCCACCAGGGGCTGGGGGCTGCCGCCCGCCTCGGGGCCGCGCGCCGTCTCGGCCTCCTTCTCCTCGGCCAGGCCCAGGATCTCCTCATTGCTGGTCAGGTGCTCCTGGCTGAGGTCGGAGAGCGAGAACTCCAGGCTGTCCTCGCGCCAGATGTCGGCCGACTTGGAGCGCTTCTTCTTGAAGGCGGCGGCGTCGGCGAAGGCGGCTCCGTTGGCGGCGTAGCGCAGCGCCCGCGCGTCGGCCTCGGCCAGGAAGGGCGGCTCGTCGCCGTAGAGCCGGCTCTCCTCCGAGTCGGGCACGCTGTGCACGGAGGCGGCCGTCAGCGCCGTGCTGCTGTCCACGCTGGGCGTCACCGACGAGTCCGTGTGGTAGGAGACGGGCCGCAGCGCCATGTCCACACGCTCGGCCCACGTGGCGCTGCCGAAGTCCTCCAGGCGCGCCTCGGCGGCGGCGAAGGGCTCCAGGCCGTTCTCGGCCAGCGACTGCGGGATGCTGGGCGTGCTGCTGGAGCGCGTGCTCACCTCGGAGCCGCGGTGGTGCGCCGCCTTGCCCGACGAGGCGTGGCGCGCCCGGCGCGAGGCCTTGCCCGAGAGGCGCAGCGAGCGCGACGTGTGCTTGCGGCCCAGCGCCGGCTGCTTGTCCCCGTACAGGGCCTGCTCCACGCTCTGGCTCTCCGCGTTGCCCATGGCGTCACGGTCTGCAAGGGACACAGCGTTAGGGGAGGCAGGCACGTGGACGCCCCAATGCACCAACAAGTCATTTCTTAATTTCATTAATTACCCAGCCCGTCCCAAAACCCACACCGCAGATTCTCGCAGGGACTGCCCTAACTGCGGCAATAATCCCATAGATTAATTAATGACAGGAGCCAGTGGCTGCACCAGCAAACCGAGAAATGCAGTTAAATCAGAAGGTAGCAAACAGCCACACAAACTTGTGCAAACCAAGAGTGCAGGAGAGCGAAGGACTGAACCCTGCAGCTCGGTGTGAACTGGAACCAGTTTAGCACCACAGTGCCATCTCAGCCCTGTGTGCATTCACCCGACCCTCAGCATCAGTGCCGCCATTCCAGCCAACAGACTCACAAAATCAACAGCTCTTGTTTATCTGCAGGTAACAGATGCTGAAAAGGAGAGGCATGTACACCTTTAGCTGAGATTTCACCTTTTTTTTGGCTAGGAACTGCAAAGCAAAGCACCAAACAGCAAAGTACAAACCCACCCGTTTGGCAGCGAGCTAATGACAGGTTTGATTTCTGGAACAAAAAAACTGTGCAACATTAGGCAGGTACCGAGAGTCCCCCACAAGAAAGCCATATTATGAAAAATAAATTAGCATGAGTGACTCAGACTAGACAAAAATAACCTCTCCTTCCCACTCCCTCAGAAGCAGATAAGCAGATCTGAGCTCTTTGATCTGAGCTGGAACGCAGGGACGGGGTTGGTGTCCCCAGCCCCAGCCTCCTGCATTATTCAGCTGTGCACGTCCCGCCGTGGAACAGGTTTCCCATCCAGGAGGTGGGAGTGATGATCTGATTCAACCTTGGGAAACACTTTGAGGTCCGTGATCTCACTCAACAAATGTCAGAAATATTTTATCAGTAGTATTGGGTCCTTCCCCTCTGGCCTGACGGCAAGAAGAAGAAGAAGAAGAAAAGTAAATGCCAAAGTTCAAAATTAAATCCTGAATTACACACGAGACAACTACATAGAGAAAAGTAGTCCATCAGTCTTGAAAAGAAATTCCAAGACAAAACTTCTTTGTTTTGAGGCATGCCCGTCAGTTCTGGTTGAAAATAAAAAAGCTGCCCTGACAGTAAAATAATCTGGAGTTTTTAATTTCATGGGGCAATTTCCTCTCCCTTGCCAGGATGCTGGTGGGTACTGACCCAGATGCTGGCAGAATGAATTCAACCACCCATTTCCCCTCACTATCTGTACACACACAATTGCTGCTGCACAGACCTGAATGAGCCCACATAAACACATGGAAAGTGAGGAACTGATGGCACCAAACAACGGGACAGCACGGCAGAACTGGGCTCTGCACTGACACTGCTGACCACAGCAGGAGGACTGTGCCCCTGCTCCTTGCCCAGCAAAGCTCCTCATGGCTGAGCCTACAAGTCTGTTCAGTGCTGGAGCAACAGACAGCACCATCAATATCTGGGCATTTCTGCACTGAACATAAATGCAATTGCAGGTGAAATAAACTACAGCAGGAAATGCCCTACATCTACTGAAATGAATGGTAGAATTCCCTTTGGCTGACATGACTTGTTTAGAAAAATAAAAGCACTGAATAAAGGGCAGGTTTAAACCTTAAAACAAAGAAGAAAAAGACAGCTTTATCAATCCCTAGACAAGGGCTCATTATCTCCCAAGAGCTACAGCTCTTTGATACAGACTGAAAAACCATCAGCCAGCTTTTGGCTATTGTACATTTTAAAGCACAAAACCTGCATCTTTTCTTCTGCAGATATCAAAAACAAGCCCTCAGTGCTTCCATCCCACAAAAGAAACTCTCTCAGGGCAATGCTTCCCCTGCTTTGGCTCCTGCTGACCACACTTCCATCTGGGGGGATTTTCCACCCTTTATCCCCAGCCTCCAGCCATCCATCCCATCTGCAGCCACCCCTTCTCACCCTAAGGAGAACGAGCAGTTTTTTAAGTCCTCTTGAAACCTGCAATGGTTCTTTACCTTCCAAGCACACCAGGCAAGATTTCCCCAAGCCAGACAAGCAACAGGAGCACAAGTGGGCTCGGTGAGGAAAGGAGCAGCAGCTCAGGCTGCATCCCAGAGGAAATAACACTCTCCTGGAAAGAAGGAGGGAAGTCTTCTCTCCACAGAAGGAATGCTCAGGGAGTGATTTCACACAATGAAGTATCTGCTAGAGACTGGCAAGAAGTGTCAGACTTCAAAGCAAAGAGCCGACCCTTTTTCAATTCAGTGGATTGTTGCTTTGGGTGAGGAGTCTGCCAATCCACAAACGGCTGTCAGTGAGCCCACAGCTCACCCCTGCACCCTGGCAAGGCCCTGCCTGATCCCACTGAACTCCCAAACGCTGCCCAGTGCCTGCATGACATGCAAGACAGTGCCATCCCCAAGTCTGCCGCCATCCCCTGGCAGAGCCCATCTCCATGGGACAGACAGCACACAGCTTGGGTGGGACAGCCAACCCCACCAGGTCAGGCTGAGGGGCTCCTCGGAAAGGGACCCCCAAATCCTGCCTTGTCACCCCATTTCTGCCTCCCTCCTGCATTGCTGGCTGGGTATTCCCACCAGCTACCCTGAACCAAATCACCCAGGTCAGGCTGAGGGGCTCCTCGGAAAGGGACACCCCCAAATCCTGCCTTGTCACCCCATTTCTGCTTCCCTCCTGCATGGCTGGCTGAGCATTCCCACCAGCTACCCTGAACCAAATCCAGTCCTCGTGCACCAGAGTCCACTAAAACAGCAGAAAATAAATCTGGGGGGAAAGAAACACCAACAAAAAGAAAAGCCTGTTAGTTAGTTTTTGCTGAGCTAGTTGGCCTGGCACGTGCCAGAGGCAGCACAAGGGTGCCTGGCCGGGGACACAGAGGGGACAGGAGGGGACAATGCCTCTGGAGAGTGACACCTCCTCATTTTTGGCAGCAGGGAGCTGAGAGGTGAGCTGAGAGGCGAGCTGGCAGCCCTGAGAGGGGAACTGACCCTGTACAGACTCCAGCATCCCCAGAGCAGAGCTGGGCAGGGCAGGGCAGCCCCAGCCTCCCCCTCCCAGGGGCCACAGCAGACACCCTGGGGCAGCAGCGGCTCAGAGCGCTCGGCTACGACTGCCAGATGCTGCCTGTCTGTGCCTTAACTGCATTTAGCACACTCCGTGAAAAAAATCTGTATCAAATTAAGAAAATGAGTAATGTTAATGGGAGCTGCACGCAAGCGCTGCTAGGACAAAGGCTCCCCTTGTTAGCTCGGCTGCCAAACGCAAAGGCCACCACTAAAGACCCATCAAGGTACCACCAGGATGTGACACAGATGCAGTGTGACACATCTGCATGCTTTGGACAGGTCTGTGGTGGTGGGAGCAATCTGCTGTGAGTGACCCTGAACCTCGCAGGGGCTGTGAGCACCACTGGCTGGGTGTTTCCAGCAGAAAATGTTGATTCATCAGAACCCAAACTTTTTGTGGGAACAGAGGGCCTCTGACGAAATCTCTCTTTCTGTCTCTGGGAGGGAGAGGCTTGAGAAGCAAAGCAGGGAGGCAGGCACGTCTCCTGAAGAGGCACCAGCGCCCTGCCCTGACTCAGGCACTCACCAAGGATGCAGATTCGTATCTGCAGCCCCAGCCAGGCAAAGGAGGGGTAGCAGCTTCTGCCTGCACATCCCCAAGGAGCTGGCCTGACCATCCATCCCCAGAAATCCTGCTCCTTCCCGGAAAAACGTCAGAAATGTGGTGACTTCAACAAAGCCGTCTTTAAGACAGCTTGCACATCCAGAGGCAGGACAGAGGGCTGAGATATGCTTTTTGAAAGCTCAAACTTCAGACTGACATCAAGACTAGGCTGCCAGCAGGGAAAGCATGAATTCTGCAGGAAAACCAGTGTTCCCTAGACTGGGTATGTGGGAAAAGCAGCCTGACCTCCAGCTGAACTGCTGAGGTTTTGCTGGATGACTATTACATGAAACGGTTACACATAAATTATCACATTCTAGATGACCACTGATGATGGCCCACTCAGAGAACACAATTTCCTTTTAAAACAGTAATTCTCCTTCCTCTTCCCCTGCCCCGATATTATTTCTTAAAATAATTACAAAACCAGAATACTCATTTCAATTAAACCTATGTTACTAACCCCTGAACCCACAAAGGGTTGGACCACTAGACTCCAGGAGTATATCTGAAAAATACTAAATTTCCAACCAAATTTGAAGCACCTCACAAGACAACAGATTGCAAATTTAAAATTAGATTCTAGTGGGAGGCCCTGGTGACAAATCTGTATTTTTCTCCTGGAGCGTAGCTCGAAGGCTGTGAGAACCAGAACAATGATCAAATCCACAGCGGGCAGTGAGCCTACAGAAATAAACTTCTGCTAAAATCTGCCAGCCAACAACAAAGATTTTCACTGAACTCACCAGAACCACATAGAAAAATGTACAAGACTAATAACCAAGTGTGAACACACACATTTTCTTGTAATTAAAATGTGCTTTTTCAAAAGGGCAACAGAGAGGCTGAAATTCCTCAGAAAGCCTTGCAGTTTCTCAGAAACTCCAGCAGCGTATTTCACTGTTTTCACATCAGAACCTCTTAACCAGCCACTTCTTTTTTGTGAGCCGCTCTCACACGTGTTAAAGCATGGGATGGACTCCAGAAAGACCTCCAAATTTCATTGTTTTCACATCAGAACCTCTTAACCAGACACTTTTTTGTGAGCCGCTCTCACATGTGTTAAAGCACAGGATGGACTGCAGAAAGACCCTGTATTTCACTGTTTTCACATCAGAATGTCTTAACCAGCCACTTCTTTTTAGTAAGCCGCTCTCACACGTGTTAAAGCACGGGATGGACTCCAGAAAGACCTCCAAATTTCATTGTTTTCACATCAGAATGTCTTAACCAGCCACTTCTTTTTTTGTGAGCCGCTCTCACATGTGTTAAAGCACAGGATGGACTCCAGAAAGAGCCAGCTCGAGTAAGAGGAGGAGGGAGGGAGGGAGGGACGGCACCCTCGGAAAGCCCAGCCCAGCAGCCAGCCATGCAGCTCGTCCCTCGCCCTCCCAGCAGCCCAGAGCCCAGCAGAGCCCTGCAGAAACACGAGGGAGGCACTTGTACCTTCCGAGGCAGTCCCGGTATCCAGCGCAACCTTCCCCCAGAGAGCTGTGGCATTTAGAGGTACAGAATTGCAAGTGACCCCAAAGGGAGCAGTTACTGGGGCTGCAGAAGCTGTCAGCACCTGCCACTCAGCGACTCCATCGCTCCCGCCTCAGAGTCTATGCCTACATGCCAAAAACCTGGGGAGAAAGGGGAGAAAAACAAATCAGACAGAGCAGGGTTAGCAGGGAGGGATGGACAGAGCATCTTCTGCAGGGGGCTGTCATCAGCACTTACCTAAGGAGCACTGGGTGCTTGAATTCAATGGTGAGAGCTGATGGCGGCAGAATAAATGAAAAACCCAGCCAAGCATGGCCAGCCCCAACCACGGGACATGGAGAGCTCCTCTTCCCAACCAAAATCCCCCCAGACTCCAACACTGCCTTGCTGAGGCCGTCTGTCTGAGCTCAGGGCCAAAACCACACCTGTGTGTGAGGATGAGCACCAAGAGAGGCACCTTCCAGCAGAACAGGCTGAATTCTGGCAGCAAAGGGAGCCCAGCTACCCAGGAGGGCTGCAGGAGGTTTCCCTGCATGCTGTCCCACTCATGGAAAGGGAGGTTTGCCAGGCAGGGATTTCATTGCCATTTGGGACAGAGCATTTACATCTGGCTTTGTGAGCACGGGTTCTCAGGATAATTGTGCTCACAAAGGTGCAGACACCAGAGATCAGTCTGTGCTTACCTAGACCTGAGAAAATCCTAAGGACAGTCCTTGAGTCAGGCACTGAGCTGATGTGGACACCAAATCCCAGCCCTTTCCAGGCCTGGTACTACTGGTGAGCATCTTTGTAGGAGTCCAGCTCCAGTGCAGGCCTGGCAGAGGCTGAGTGCTTTCCCAATCCAGCTCTCACCCAACTCTCCCTTCCCCAGCCAGGCAGCAGCACTAAAACATCATCTCAAGGCTGCACACAAACTTGGGAGAGTTACAAACTTCTCCACAGGTCCCAAGGAGCAAAAATCTGGGGAGGGATTGCTGCTGCCCTTCATGTTCTTGGAGCTGCTTGGTGGGGAAAGTGTGATCCTCACTCTTGGCTGGATTCTCAAAGGAGATGAGAGTCACTGGCTCTTTTTAAAATTAAAAATGTTCTCGTTTTCTTTCTCTTCCTTCATGTTCCCTTCTTTGCTCCCTACCTCCCCCTCTTCCCCCAAGCTGTTGGTAGAGATCTGAAAAGCAGTTCATGAATTGCTCAGGAGCTGGCAGAAATTAATGAAATGAAGCTCATTTATATTGAAATGGACTCATTATCATGCCAGCTGCCAATGATTTCCAAGAGGGGAATCTTGCTGACAAAAAAGGTCCTAGAGGCAGGAGGCTCCCCACCTGCACCCACCACACAGGGAGCAGTCCTGCCACGAGCACTCCTCACCTCCAGCAAAGGGAACTGGGACCATCTCTGCTCAGGTCTGCCTGCTACTGACAAAAAAACCTGCCCAAAAGAGGAGCAAAACAAACACAGCCCAGCATTCTGTCAGACCTTCCACCCTGATGTGGCTTGTGTGGAGTTTGTAACTCTAAATTCTGCTCTGGGGTGACACAAACTCTGAGAAAGCAGCTCCAAGGCAGCCTGTCCACACACTGCCTGTGCTCCTCCAGCAGAACCCCTTCTCTCCTGGCAGTCCTGTGTTAAAAGGGGATGTTTACACCTGGATCCTGCACTATCCAAACCCTCACACTGCTCCAGCACATCTGAAGGGCTGGCAGCATCCTTTGCCATGAACAGGTGAGAACTGCGCACCAAGCTCCTCCAGAAAACAAGGATTTATCATTGCCCATCAACTTTCTCCTGAAAAGTTTTGCTCCCATTAACTTTTCCACCTCAGACAGTCTGTCCTAAATTAAACCAATCCGTACTTTTCAAGAAGAACATTTGTTTCTCATACTTGGTCTGACATTAACAAGCACTGGAACAGCCCTCAGTGTCCTGGCTCATTCCAACAGCCCAGGCACTGCCACAGCAGAATTTCTGGAGCTCTCCAGCAAAGCCTCCTTTCCAGCAGGGTCTAGGAAGGTCCAACAAGGCAAAAAAGTGATTTCCCAGGAGTAAGGGCTGAAGCAAACACAGCTCCATCACTTCCCTTCCAGCACAGAGTCCTTTTTGGACATGTCTGCTCCCACAGATGCTGGCCAAGGAAAAGTTGACCAGTGACCACCAGCCTGTTCTCAGGGGAGATGGACATTGTAAACATCAACACATGGATCAACTGCTCTGATTAAAAAAAAAAAAAAAAACAAATAAAGCTTTTCCAACTTGCACACTGGAGACAGAACATCCCTGTCAGCACTGAGTGCTGCTGATGCTCAGACACGTCCCTGGTGTGTGTGAGCCAGCCCTGCACACGTCAGAGCAGCTCCCGTGCTCTGGAGGCTGCAGGCAGCACAGCTGTATTTACTGCACAGCCACAAAACAGCTCCAAAACCAGGCCAAGGGCTTCCCACAGGGCTGCCAGGCCTGGCTGGGAGCACAGGAAACCTCCATGCATGGACTGAAAACAGAGAGGGGAGCAGAACAGAGTAAAGGAGCACCTTGTTGTTCCTCACATCTGCTACCTGGGATTCCAGGTACAGCACAGACTCTAGCTGCCATGGGCTGCACAGCAGTCTGCAGTGCCAAGAGTCCGGAGAAAAATCCAGCACACCTGCTTTCTGTTTGCTTGACAGCGTGGACAGGATCAAAAACATGGAAACCGTAGCTTTCTAAGAGCCTCCTTCCCAAAGCACAACCCTTCCTTTCCAGAATGAAAAAATCAGTATGCAAATACATGCCCTTGTCCAGTGAACAGGAAAAGTTGGCCAGAAGGACGACAGCTCTCTTTTGGTTCTATTTTCACTTTTTCATTTTATGAGGCATTGCTTTAGTCAGATTTCAAATGCAATCAGTTGACTGTTAAGTAAATCTTCATGCAGTTTGGAGAAGCCCTTGGTAACTCTATCATCAAGCAGGATGTGCATACAGAGACAGGAGCAGTAGGCACTCCATACAGCAACAATTCAATATCCATCAGCAGCTCTGGGCTGTGCTCCCCACCCATGATCCCAGTTCCACGCCACTGTAACTCCAGTGTTTCTCCTGGGATGGACAATCAGGCCCTTGCTTTGTGACTGGAGGCCACGTTTTGTTGGTTAATAGTCAGTTAGTTAATATGAATTGCTGCTGAGATCAGCCCAGCCAATGCCCTGCCCCGAGACTGAGGTAAATGCTCTCCTGTGCTCCAGGGCTCTGCCTGTCCCCATCCCACGTCCCTGGGCTGCCCTCTGCAAAGCCAAACCCACAGGAGAGGGAACATAAAATATCCTCACCTGCAAGGGACCCACAGGGATCAGAGTCCAGCTTCTGGCCCTGCACGGACAGCCTGACAAGCCTCCAAACCCCTCACCATCCTCGTGCCCCTCCTTTGGATGCTCTTCAATACCTTTAGGTCCTTCTCAAACTGTGGTGCCCAAAGCTGCCCCCGTGCCCTGAGGTGAGACTGCACCAGTGCTGGACCCATGTAGGGATGGATGGATGGATGGATGGATGGATGGATGGATGGATGGATGGATGGATGGATGGAGAAGAGCCTGCCCTATGCCCAGATCTTTGTTCACAAATGCAATTCCAAAATGCTCCGAGCTTCCCCACTCTCCATCTAGACACTGAGCCCCGAGACCAACTTCAGAGCATTGCAGAAGCTGGTTGACTTTTAAAGCAGCAAAAATAAATTACAAACGTGCTCCTCTCCGTGTTTTCTTTCTGTGACATTTAAAATGCCATAGAAGCTTTTTGTTTGTGAGAAAAATTAATTTCGAACCGAGTGCCGCTCATGAGAAAAATGAATTTCAAGCCAAGCACTGTTTACAGTACCTGTTGAGGAGAATGGCCGCTCCTGAAGCTGGAGTGTGAGAGCAGTGACCATGCAGGCAGGTCAGGGATCCATCCATCATCCATCCATCATCCATCCATCCCCAGGAGTGGGCTGGAGGAGCTCCAGCTCCAACCCCTCTCAAGTGTCTCGCTAGCGCGCACCCTCCGTGTCTGTCACGGCTGCCAGAACAATGCTGGTGATGCTCCAGATGAAGAGGAGGGCAAGGAAAAATAAACCCACACTCCCTTTGAGCTGAGCTCCTGAAGGGGAAGGTGTGGGCAGCCCTGCTCCTCCAGCTGCAGCACCACCCCTACGACAATTCCCAAGGGAGGGAGAGAAGGCAAGAAGAGGAGGAGGGAGGAAGGTTTGTGTTTGAGAGACCTTAAACCTCCACAGAGGCAGCAGCCAGCCATCCCCAAATCCAGCTAAAGGAAACAGAACCAGGAGCACAGCACTGAGAAAGCACCACGGCAATAAATTAATGAAAGAGCAGAGCAGGTAGCCCAAGGGAAAGCCCCCTCTCCAGGGTTTCTCTATTTATAGAGGGGATGTGAATAATTGACACCGCTGTGGGTTTGTTTGTTTTTCAATCATTTTTACAACTATCTGAGCATGTTTTAACTCTTTCTCCTTCCCGTCCCTTTTATTTTTAATGGTGGGAAAATCCCCCTTTCTAGCCTGGGGGGGAATCTGCAAGGTTTTACACGTTTCCAGCAAAGGGCAGAGCAGGGGAAGGATTCTAATTTCAGATCATCAGACATAAGCAAATCTATGGGAAGCCACGAGGGCAACTCCCTGGAGCCTGTGGGGCAGCCTAAGCCCAGCCAGGAGGGAGCTGCAGGGAAGGAGGAGCCCCCTTGGCCTCCATGGAGGCTCTGAGGACTGAGTGCACATTTATATGAGACTTGAAAAACGAAAAAGAATTCCCAAAATGCAGCTGAAATAAAAGATAAGGCGTGGCTTGTTTATTTACCTTTAGGTTCTGTGTTATTGTTATTGCACTTAGCTTAAAAAGGGCTTTCTGCTTGTGCCAAATGAGCCCAGAACTGCTGATACACGGCAAGGGTGGGACGTGCCAAATGCACTCCAAAGACTGGGAAGGAACAAGAAAATGTTCAGAGCTCCAAACGGATCTGGGGGAGCTCTCCCTGTACAGCCAAGGAGTGGGACCTTGCACAGAAGAGCCAGCCAGCACCACAGGCTCCAGCAATAAAACCTGAAACCCTTGGCTCGAGCGGCCGACCAGACAGGATGTGAAGGATTAAAATGGTGCGGAAAAAAATTCAGGGCAATAAT